TAAAATATGAAATATAAGTCTAAGGAATCAAATATTAACTCAACCAACTTCATTCATTGGTTGATTTGATCTGCTAGCATTGTAAAAGAATATTCTGTGGAGTGTTTTATTTAGTAAATTCAGAATCCGTGAGAGATTAATTTTTCAATATTTATATGGACGTCAATAAATCCATTTATTCCATAATACTGATTATTAATGTCCATATATATTTAGATTATCTTCTACGTCTCATATTCTGCGTTGCAAACGTCTACATAAATTTAATATACTTGTTATTCATATTAGTGCACATCTTGTTAATATAAAAATAATTTTTGTTTTTATTATTATATTTTTTATTCAATGTACATTTATTATTATTATTTTTGACTTGGGAAATTAAACGCTTGGATCTAGAGATCTATTGTGGCCTCCATGGATTCAAAAAACGTTTCCGATAAATAAGTTGTTTAAATGAAGTTTACCTACTTTATTGAGTCTTATTTCTTCATCCGATATAAGGCATCATCCTAAAAATTTCTGCCGCTTGTAACTCGGAGCTGGGCTAACTTCTCGTATGTGTTTTATAGTCGAATTCTGTTCTCCACCTGCAATGATCTGTCAGAACTTCTATATATATACTGAAATTATTCTTTAAAAATTTAAAAATCTCTTTTGAAAGTAATAACTCTGATATATTGTAGTGCTGTTCATATTCGAATTTACGAAGTATTCGAAGAAATTCGAATATTCGAATAGTAAACGAAGTCTTCGAAGTTGAAAAAAACTTCGAAGTTTTTGTGAATTTTTGTTCTCGAAGTCTTCGAAGTTTAAATGTAGTGAAAAACTTCGAAGACTTCGAAGACTTCGTAAGCAAAAGGTGAAGTGAGAGCGCACAATGCAAACAAACGTGCATCACACAAATTATTTGAGGGATGAAAGCGTTTGCTTTGTTTGTACGGTTTTATGTTTTTTGTTGTTATTCTATGCAGAAAATTATTGTTTTATTTTATTACATAAAATTTATTTTATTATTAAATATGTATTATAATATACATTATTATTAAATATGTTATTATTAAATATTTTTTATATTAAATAAAAAATTCACATTTTAAATAACTTATATTTATTATTTATATTTAAAAAATCATATTTGAGAAAATTTTTATTATAATATAAAATATATACGTAATAATATGAAAATATTGATATTGATGGATTTTATTAGTAATGGAATTTTATAAAAATTTTCATTTTCCTTTAAAAAGAAAATCACAAATTAAAACCTTGAAAATTAGTTATGGAAAAATGAGTTTTGCTCATTAATGCCTAATTATTTGACCTGTATGAGCTGTGATGATCACGCAGGTAAGCGCAAATTTATTTTTGCATTATAAAATTTTGAATGTTTTGTTGTAGTTACACATTATTTTACTGTTTATGGAAAATTTTTAAATCCCTTATTCTAGGAAAAGAAATACATAATATTATAAGGAAGTATCTAAATAAAATGTAAATTAGTGTATAAGCAAAATTGTATAAAAGAAATTCCATCAAATTTTCATGTATTTTATATTATATTAAAAATTTTCATAAATATAATTTTTTAAATATAAATAATAAATATAAGTTATTTAAAATGTGAATTTTTTATTTAATATAAAAAATATTTAATAATAACATATTTAAAAATAATATATATTACAATACATATTTAATAATAAAATAATAAAATAAATTTTATGTAATAAAATAAAACAAAAAACATGTTTTTAATTTTCTGCATAGAATAACAACAAAAAACATAAAACCGTACAAACAAAGCAAACGCTTTCATCCCTCAAATAATTTGTGTGATGCACGTTTGTTTGCATTTT